TTTTTYYTTTTTTTTTTGCTTGTTTGGCTCTTCCAACTTGGCTATTCATCTCCAAGCCAGAACCAGTTTCTTGGTGAAGAAGCACAGAGACGTTGTGTACAGCAGTGAAAACAGGCTGACCGTGGAAAGGTTTTTCTGCCTTTTCGCCTACTGCAGGCAGTTCACTGAACAGCACACTATGTTATAGGCTGTCATTTTGAGTGGAGTAGAGGCCCCCTCTTTACTTAAATTTAAAACAGCAAGCAAGTCTCTCTTTGCCTTCCCTATGGAAAATTAAGATAATTCACACAAAGGTCATTCTCATGGGTGATCTTTCAACGGTATTTAAAAAAAAAGAAAAATAAAGTAATAGATGTAATTGGTTTTGCAGTTTTTACTTTTACTCATCAGACAGGAATGGTAACATGTCAGACCTAAGACCTTTGGAATCCAAGAAAGAGCAAACAAATGTAGATGAAATGTAGATTTCTTGTTATTATTGCTGTTAAAACTTTCCACTATCTCCAGGTTGCYTTCACATGGATTTGGGGCCTCGAGGGAATGTTTCTGATCTCATCAAGGAAAAATTGGAAAGGATAGTTTTTCCAGAGATGAAGACCAGTAAAAGAAGACAGGCTGTGGGTGTTGGTGTTGTTGGTTTTTTTTTTTTTTTTGAGAGAGAGAGAGGTTGGAGTGAGGTGGGGATGCATCTTTTTTTCTCTTTTTTTTTTTTTTTTTTTCTCCCCTCCAACCTTTCAATTGAAGAAATCACATAACCACAGAAAGATGTGTTTTTCCTTCAAATGTCTTTGAAGATGCTCTCAGACTGTCTTCTGGGCTGTGACTGGACTGATGCCTGTTTTAGGAGGCAGATCCAGAAGGGTCCTCCACATGAGGAAATGTTCTTCCTTGTCAAAGGAAAATTTCTCTTGGTCCATATCATTAAAGATAATGATCTGTACTTCCTCCTTAGTAATTCAGAAGTTGGTACCCTGAATATTTTTCCACACCTTAATTATCGTGTTGGTTTTGTATCTGGTGAGCATCAGGAGCTGTGATAATTTTCTAATAAATGACTTCTACCTGGCCTCCTTCTATCCTTGGTCTTTTACTAGACAGACTTTTTTTTTCTCCTTGTAAGTAGCTGGAAGGCTATTGGACGTAGTGTGAAAGAGAGAAGGGGCGTATTTTCAAATAACTTTGTATTTTTATTACCCAGTCATTAGAACCATTAACTGATGATTTCCTTGGGTAGAACTGGCAGGAGAGGTATGAACGGATGAAGTTCAAGATTGTTAATTAACCATCATCATAAAATTTTATTAGTGTCTGTTTCCATTTTCCATTTTCATAAATTTTTCCATTTTCCATTTTCATAAATTTTACATATACGCACCTTACAGTGCGGGGACACATTGATACTTAGAGGTTGACCTCCTCTTAATTCCTCTGACAAAAGTTTCCTTGTTTGCTGAAGCAGAGGTACGAGCAGCAAATTTCAGTGTTTTTCTTGCTTTCTTTTTCTGTTTGATTTTTCTACTCTTCTTCCTCTGTTTTCTAGAGTGTTGTCAATAGGCTATTAAAATAAGTGACTAGAAAGCACATTTGCTCTTCAATGAAGGTGTCATTGGAAAGTACTTTTTAAGACTGCTTCAGAGTTTCAAGGCTAGGAGAGCTTGTGGAAAGCACTAGAAGAGCACCCGCTGGAGAACCATCCCACAGTTTTCTTTCAAAGGAAACAGTTTTGGAACTTAGGTAGTACCAAGAGTCCCGTGCATGCCTGATGATTCCTCAGTGCCTTAGTAAGACTACAGGAATTTTTGTCTCCATCTGGAAAAACTRCTAGGTAGTTACCTAGTTAGAACCAGCCTCTGAATTAGTGTTTACGGAAATGGAGAAGGTAGAGGAATAAACTGTTATTAGTCTGAGATTTGAGGAAGTGTTTCACTGTTGGAGGTAGTTTATTCTGCATTTTCATCAGTATAACGCAATGCAGTATCAGAGAATTTCTTGCTCAGAAAACAAGCAAGCACCATCTTCATACAAGCACAGCATTGCATCCAACTCTTAAGGAACAGTAAGGAAAACTTGGTTTAAATAGGACATATTTCTGTATCAGTGCTAAAAAGGATGAACCTTGACTGTAACCATTCAATGAAATTATGGASCCATATTTTAAAAGAATCAATATCACTTTAGCACTATTAGTATTTGTAAGTAATAAATTACCTGCTGCTTAGTATGTGGCAGTCTAGGGATGAAACYGAGATCACTGTTGCTATGCTCATTTGAGAAAATAACCTTTTTTTGGCTTTCATTGATTGTGCACATGGGGGTCAAACCAGATAGGTTGCAGAAATGCCCAGTAGACTTGCTCGCTATCTTCCTCTTCATTGTCTCTCTACTTTTCATTCTCATAGCTGTGTGTTCTTGTTCATGGAACACTTAGGAAAATTACAAAATGATGTGTTATTACTTAGCTTTTATCATAAGCCTTTTATTGCCTTTATTGTTACGTGGGCGAAAATGTGAAATGACCCTGTTTTTATCTCTATATTTACTCYGATGTCACCCTCACTATTCTACTGTCATGAATTTCTAACACTTTGCTCTGTTGCCAAGTCTACAGATCTCTTCTAACATCAAAGCAACATCTCACTTAGTAGTCAAAGTTAATTTGACAGGTGGTTGATTGTAATTAACTCCTCTTGTGAGCAGTGCTACATCTCTGAGCAGAAGGGCAGAAAGTGATATTTTTGTTGTTTGTTGCTTTCAMTTCTTGAAAGTAGTATTTATAGCACTAGGTAATTACTTGTACATATTAGATTTTACAAAGGAAACTATGGCTTGTTAACTTCATTTGATTTTTTTTTT